CTTTGTTGTCTTCTTCTGGTTGTATGTTTTGATCTTCTTTGTTACTAAAGAAAGATTCTGTGGTCTGACTATTTTTGCGCCTTTATTTGCTCATGATCCCAGCCAATTATTGAGTTATAAACTCTTTGTTAAGGTAGGGGTCTACTTCCAATGTGGAGAATGTACTGTTGTAAGCTTCAGGGGTTTTGTGCAGCTGTTTTCAGAGACACTTCTAGAGACCTGTAAGTTTACATTTCTCCCAAGGTGGTATGATCAAAAGCGAGGTGTTTAGTCCTTTTCTGGCCTTTGCTGTGGTCTGAGTGAAGACGCACAATCACTCTTTTGTGCCTCAGAACTGGGAGGATTCCCTCTCCACTGCCACTACAAGCTCCCCTCCACCACTAACACACCTCCTCATCCCAGGATCACCACCCAGAACTGTGACTCGGATCCAAGCACAGACAAAGCAAAAGAATCCTGCACCAGCAAAGAGATCCTTGCAATACCCCTCTGATCAGCCACTCAATTCCCCCTCAGTCTGTGGAGCCACCCTGGGGCTGCAGCCAGGGCTGAGACTGCATTTCTCTCTCACTGCAATCACAGACTTTTCCTACTGACCTTCTAAGTTGTCTTTGGTGTTTGTGGGTTGAGAAGTCTGGAAACTGCCACAGCTTCCCGTGATTCAGTCCTCTGAGGCCTGCTCCAGGTTGTTGAGGCCTGTTTTGCAGTGCCCCACACTGAACTGTGTTCCTCTCACAGCCGGGCATGATAGACCTTTCTATTCACCCATCCAGGTTTTCTGGGGCTGGAAATTTATTTCACTCTGTCTTTTTATGGGTTCTGCTGCTCTAGAATTTGTTTAGAGCCATTTTTTTACAGGTATTTGGAGGGGTTTGGGGGAGAACTCAAGCAAGTCACTGCTTTCACTTTGCTATCTTGGCTCCTCCCCCGAGATTATACATTTCTATGAATTTTTGAGGAACTACCAGAACATATCCCTTGATAGCCTTAGAACCAGATTAATAAAGGGATGAGTTAAGTAGAAAGCTTCGGAGTAGGGGGTTTGGTGGGGACTGTCAACTAGTGAAATGCTTACAACTATAAAGGTCACATAGGGAAATAATTACCCCCTCTAAAGCTTGCCACAAAAGTAGATACAACATACATACAAAATACAGCTCAAAAACCTTCTATGTGAGTCTTTCTCGAGTCTCCCCATCTGCTCTTACCAACCCATTACGGATCATACAAATTACCTTGTTCTAATTTTCTAAATATTTCTGTATGTTGTCTCACCCAATAGAAAGTAAGATCCTAGAGGTCAGTTATTTATATGCTGTGTCTCCTAAGGGCAAGGATCTATGTATCTACTCCCAACTCCCAGAGTAAGCACTGACATGTTTATTGAATTGAAAAGTTCTTCCATGGATTTCTAGTTAAACTAGGACTTCGTTAAATAATCTGTCTACAGGCATAAGTGAAGTGATACAATAAGGAGTTCTTTCAAGTACTTCCAAGTAATAAACCTCTTTGAACAGAATCCAAAGAGAATTTGCCTTATGTGAGATTCTCTGCCTTACTGGATTGTATAATGAGTATGTAGCCAAGGCTGTTATACTCAGCCCATGGTGAGCATGAAAGAGAAAAATACTCCAGGTATCACCTACCACCACTGAAGAGACTAAAACCATAGTGAGTGCTCAATCTAGGCATGAGGATTTTTTGACGTTGCTTTAGCATATTTCCAAGAATGGTGCCAATGACACAGTGACTTTTACAATGGAATCAGCTTTTATTTACGTTGGTGACCTTAAGATCTTTCATTTTATGATCCCTACTGCCAGCCCTTCCTTAAAAATAATTCTAACTTTTATAAAGCCCATTGTTCTTTTGCCTTCTAGGAATGAATGAAGCAAAAAATAATTTATTAAGCTTTTACTATGGGCAAAGCACTGTGCTAAATGTTGGGAACACAAATAGGAAAATAAAACAAACCCTTCTCTCAAAGAATTCAAATTCTGTGGGGGGGAGATGACATATATAATTTTCAGTTACAAAGTCAAGTAGAAATGTCCCATGGTTGTTAGGGTGCAATGGTGAAACAAGTCTAAATGCATCTTCTTTAATGTTATTTTCCCTGATAACAGCATATACATTTCTAAGTTTGAACTGTTTGACATTGTATACTTATGCATATACATACAAGAATATGCCAATCTAAACCTATGCTCATGCAGTCACGTTTGTGGTCACCATGGTGCCCTGAAGTTGTTTCCTACTTTGCTGTCCACAATCCACAGATAAGAAGCTAAGCTCAAAGCAGGTTGTGAATATTGCTAAAGGAGAGAAAAGGAGAGGGACCAGCAATAATGATAACATTTATATAGTGTCTCCAAAGTCTTAACTGTAGTTTAAGCTTATAAGCTGATAATTAAGCTTATGGTACTTCAAGGTTTGCAAAGTACTTTACAAGTATCTCACTTGATCCTTCTAATAACCTTGTGAGGTGGGTGCTATTATCCCCATTTTACAAATGAGAAAAATGAGGCTGAGAGATGTTAAGTGGCTCGCCCAGGGTCCTACGGCTACATAAGTATCCAAGGCAGGATTCAAACTCAGGTTTTCCTGACTGCAAGTTCAGTCTTCTATCCATTGTACCATGATGCTCCCTCATGAGTAGCGTGAGCTAGGCCAATGTGTGTTGCTGGCTGAGGAAAAAGAAAGCGTAAGAAGAAGCTGGATTAATAAGGTTTGTGCACTGATGAAAAGGGCAATGAGTAGCATGGATTGTAGGATATTAGGATTTAGAGCTGGTAAGGATCAAAAATAATTTAATCCAATCCTGTTACTTTACACATGCCAGGGACTCCACATCTTACTCTCCCTTGGCACAAGAGCAGCCAATTCTGCCCCTCCCATCTCTTTTGGTGATCTCTTAAGAAGGGGCTCCGCAACAATTCAAATAATGCCACCCAGCTGTTCCCAGGGAAGATGGGGAATGGAAACAAGGGCTGGGTAGAGTGTTGTGTTTCCCTCAGCTTGGAAACCAGTGCTGATGCAAATGGGAGATACATTGTTCAGGGATGGAGGCAAATGAATCATTATAAGCCAGCACAGAGTTGAAAATAATAATAATAATAGTAGCTAGCATTTATATGGTGCTCTACTTGTAAAATATTTTATAAGTATTATCTTATTTGAAAACAAATACTTACTGGACTGCTAAGGGTATGTCAGAGAAAAGCTGTTGCATAGTGGATATGGTGCTAAATGCAAAGCCAGAAAGATCTGCCCCTCCTCCTAACGACTGGTCATGTTATTAACATTTGATTCAGTTCAACAAGCATTTATCAAGTGCCTACTATGTGTGTCATACTGTGCTAAGTGCTGGGGATGGAAATAAGAAAAAGGGACAGTTCCTGCCCTCAAGGGGCTTACAATCTAATGAAAGAAGACAACACACAAAAAGAAGCTGAAAAGTGAGGGGGAGTTGGAGGGGGGTAAAGGGGAATACCCAGTGTGGGGACAAGCCCTGTGGAATGAAAGCCAAGAAGCTGCTGATGGAGAACAGTTACTAGGAAGGCTATGAGTCCTCTATAAAGGAAGGCTTTGGAAGGAGTATAGTGCTCTACCCTCCAGCCCTCCAGTCAGAGGAAATAGAGGGTGAGTAAAATGAGATAACAATACTTGTAGTGCTATTGAACAGGGTTGTCCTCAGGTGAATAAGATAATCAGTATAAAATACATAAGACTTTAAAGCACTATATAAATACCAGCTATTATTATTAATGTCATAATACCTTGAGAGACTTTTTGAGACAGAACTTGTTGGAGTTTTTGCAAAATTTTCAAAAGAACAGAGAACAGGGAGGGGCCTGCAAGAAGTGAGAACCATTTACTTGGGATAGAAAGGAATGAACTGGAACAGTGACTGATTTCACATGGTAAAAACCATGGCAGGCAAAAGGGCCTCAGAGTGGAGCATCGGTAAAGAGGCAGCTAGTTGGTACAGTGAATAGAGCTCTGGGCCCAGAGTCAGGAAGACCTGAGTTCAAATCTCACCTCAGACACTTACTAGCTGTGCGACTCTGGGCAAGTCTCTTAACCCTGTTGGCCTCAGTTTCCTCATCCTCAAAAATGAGCTGGAGAAGGAAATGGCAAACTACTCCAGTTTCTTTGCCAAGAAAATCCCACCCCAAATGGGGTCATGAAGAGTCTCAGAAATGACTGAACAACAAAAAAAGAACCAAAGAAGTGAGAACCCTCTAAAATGTACCTAGGCTTTTCAGGTCAGGAGACCCAAGGGTTATGAATAGAAGAGGAAACTGAGGCAAGGAAAGTGACTTGTCAATAGTTATAAGGTAGGATATTGCAGAGCCAGAAGTCAAATCCAGATCCTCTTCAACTCTCTTTTTACTATGTCGTGATACTGAGAAGGGGATGGGCCGGTACTGCTGAATGTAGCTCAGTAGCCTGGAGAACAGCCCCTGAAGGAGTGCAGGTGATCAGGATCTACAGTCTCCTTGCACCTCGGTCTGGGAAATAATGAGCTAGCAGGATGAGAAGTCTTTGTGAATTTAATGAAAAACCAGGCTGAAATAATGCCTTCTGAATTTGTGAAAGAATATGGAATCACTAGGCTATACTTTTCTATGAGCAACTTTTCTCTGCATGTTATGCAGGCTCATTGGTTAAACTAGAACTTCCTTAGCAAGTATGAAAATGTAAACCAATCCCAATGAAAGTCTCTTAACAAACCAGGAGAAGGACGAACACATGTTAATAGGTTCCCTTGTGGAAAGAAAAAGAATAAAAGCACCAGCAGTGGCTCAAATTATAAAGCATTCCTATCACATTCAGAAATAGGGCAGGGCTTTTTGCTGGCTCTTTGGTACCCTGTGATGAGGGATTCAGCTCATTCAAGTTCTACCGGCACACTAGCTGGTATCTCTGCCAATACAAGCAACTTCAGTTACACTATTCATAACAATACAAAACCAGAAAAAATACGTAACAATTCATTAGGACTTCTGATGTCATTTTATTTTTTATGTTTGCCAACATGCAGACATGAGACACTCAAAAGATACTGTCAAAATGAAGTGAATCAACTTTTTTTTTAAGAAACCTGAGAAAAAAGGGCACTGACAATTGTAGTCAGGAATATCATGTTTCCTGCTAGAATAGTATTAAAAATATTTATTATATTAAAATACGTGAAAATGTTTGCTTAGAAAATCACTTAATTTTCACTTTTATTAATACGAACAGAAATGAATTCCTCTTAAATGGTTCTCTGTGGAATATCCAGTACTGCTTAGGAAAATGCTGAGTACACAGCCAATGAGTCCACACTTGTCACTACGGAACTTCCTGTTGTGATATTGCTCAATTAGTCCTATTCTTTTCAAAACAAAGCTTACTAAGTCCACTGTAAAATAATTAGTATCCTGTCAAATATCTCCAATAAAGAAGAGGATCTTGTGCTTAAAGACTTATTAAAAAATTCAATATGCACAATACTGATAATATGATCAGGGAACACTCTGCCATACTTACAAAAAACCAAAACTTATTATTCAGACAAACTCTGAAAGCTCCTAATAGCAGTGGAAGCCAAATTCAAATCTCAACAAACTTCTTGACATTGTGGCCTCAGAAGGTTTTCTTTTTTTCATAATATATCAACTTGCAATGGAGTGACCTTTTTTTTTGTAACAATGGAGTAACTTTTCCCTTTATAACTTAATAATTTTTTCCTACAGGAAATGTTTCCTATACTTGCAGGAAATGTGCCCCAATAAAATGTGATTTATTTTTTGGTGGTAGGAGAAGTTCTGGACAGAGATGGAGTGTTCAGAGAACTTGATAATGGGTTGTGTACTCAATCTACCACATTTCCTGCATCCTATCCTGCATCCCATAAGGCAAGCTGGCCTATAGCCTCCAAGAAGCACCCCATTCCTTTAATTCTGTCTATTTACTCTCTTCCAGGTACAGGTTATGATCCTTAATATAGGAAATAACTGAGTCTGGAATCAGATACTTCACGCTCTGTCCTTGACATAAGGCTTGTCTGATGGCCGTGGCACTCAAATCACTTTGTACCACATTCTTGACTAGATGTATATTATGTTGATAGTGAGTTAAAATGGCTGATTCAGAGATATATTGTTTTGGGTCATGGCCAGCCCTGCTAACACACACCAGGCCGAATTTTTCAACTATTTCTTGGATGTGTTCATCTTTCCAGAGGTTGGGGGTTTGAAATGTCTTCAGAACATCCGCACCACAGAGCAGCTTTAACTCGGGAGCAGCTGAAAAAACAAGGAGGTTCACTGTGAAGTTACAGAGGGATTGTTTTAAAGATGATATCACATTTATTTGGAAAATTTCATTTCATTTTTCTTCCCTTTGGAGTATGGAAAGTACTAAAATGTTTTAGTGTTTATGCTTTAAAAAACAAATAAAAATATAAACAGACCTAGAGCTGTACCACACACAAGTTTAGTTAGATTCTCATTTAACACTTGGAAGTAATATGCAATGTAAGGGAGATTCAGAATCTCTGATTATAGTTTTGTAGCTGAATTCAGTTCCATCCAACAAATGTTTATTAAGATCCTACTAGGTGCAAGACACTATTCGATTTTTGTAGGGATCTCACTGAGCTTAAATTTTAATGATGAGGAGAAGGGGATAGAAAAGGATACAAATACTTTTGAAAGTAAGATAAATGTGAAGGAAAAGTCCAGACAAACTGGTCTGAAAACTTGGAGGGAGGAAGCCAGAGTCAACATTTGCAACATAAGACAAATAACTGTGGTCCAAAGTAGCACTGGCATTTCACTCTGTGCCACCTATTTAAAAATAAAGGATAATCTATATTTATAGGCTCAATTGTATCACAGGAAATATCACAATGACAAAAATCTCTCTCAGCCTCAATCATAGCCCATTTGTTTCAAACATTATTCCATGCAACGAAATTCCAACAGAACCAAAGAATCTGGGCAATTCCATAGAGTTTGTTGTGTTCATATTTGTTTAGTATATGCACTTTAACCACATGGTCTTTAGAAGTACAGTGCGCTAGGCCGTTATCTTAGCATAACTCAGTTTCCTTTTGTTTGCAATATTGTGAAGTACAAAAATAAATATGATAGAATAAATTTATCTTTTAAAATTCATTTTAAAAGTGAATTTGTCTTTTCCTTCTTTCATAAAATAATTCCATCCTCAGAACATTGCACTTTTCATTCCAATGTAACTAAAAGGAAGTTGCAGCTTCATAGATACTATTGCACATGCTGGGGGTAGGAGGTGGTGGGAAAGACCTAGTTCAAAAAATGGACATGCATTCCTAGCATCCTTTAAAGTTTCACAAAATAAGCTTGCTAATTTAGAATCTGTGGTAATCTAGACACAGCTTAAGTAGGCGGCTACTTTTGTACCATCTGTGTTAGTGAAAAGTTCCGTTTAAGGGTGCAAAAACATTATGAGAGAGAAGTTTAACTTCGTTATTAATAAGGGGAACTATATAAAAGCTGTAGCAGAATCATTTATCTATCATGAATGGATTAATTACCAAGGATTCTTATCTTTTCATTAAGGCACAACCTCTACTTCGACATTTGGTTAGATCCTTTATATGTACTCAACTTGAAAGTAATACAATGATGTTACAGTAGTCTATAATTCATACTGTTCACTATTTCAGACTGGCCTCTCAGCAATCAATAAACATGTGCTGATGAGAGTTATATGGAAAGAGCCTGACTTGAGATTCAAGCCTTAGGTCTGCCACTAATTAGCAAGTCACATCATGTCTCTGAGCTTTGTTCTCCTCACCTACAAAGAGATGGAATTAGATTACATAATGCGCAACCCCCCTTCCAATTCTGCAACTCACTAGTCCGAATTTACCAGTTTTACTCTCTTGCCATTGCAAAAAGAGAGATGTTTGTTGTAAACTCTGGGGGATGATTTGTATATTTATATGAATTCTGATTGTAAGGTGAAAGATATTGTCCTATTAGTATTTTCCTATCTGTTCCTTGGTAGGGGGAAGCAAAGGTAGATATAGGGTTAGTTAACTGCCACGGATAGTGCTAGAAACTTGAATTCCAACTGTCAGGTTTCCTGATTGCCTTCAAGAGAATCTGAGATAAGAAAAATAGAACAATGTGCTATATCTACAGAGTCTTAGTAAAGGCTTAGACTAGAAAACTAAGTCTAGAACAGGCTACATTTATTTATTTATTTATTTATTTGTCTATCTATCTATTCATTCATTCATTCATTTATTTATTTAGCACAAGGCAATCAGGGTTAAATGACTTGCCTAGGGACACAGCTAGCGAGTATCAAATCAAGTGTCTGAGGCCAGATTTGAATTCAGGTCCTTCTGAGTCCAGGGCAGGTGCTCTATCTACTGTGTCACCTAGCTTCCCCAGGCTAAATTTATTTTAATTATACTCCTAATAATCTTCATTTACTGTGTGAGGAAGACATTACAGTACATTGGAAAAAAACAACATCTCTGTAGAGGACCTGTGTTCAAACATTGTTTCTGATGCTTAGCAGTTGTGCGAACTTGGACAAGTCACTTAATTTATCTGAGCCTCAGTTTCCTCATTGGTAAAACGAGGGAGCTGGGCTAGATGGCTGCTAAAAGACGTTCTAGCTCTAGATCTGTGATTCTGTGACCCTGTGAATTTGTATGTTTTCTTTTGCCTTATAAACAAACGTTAGAAAACGAACTCATGGTCAGAACTATGTGATGGAAGGGAAAAGAGAAGCAGGTGCTAGGACTAGGTAATCCAGAGATAATGGCAATAGTAGAGGCAGGCAGGGGAGGAGTAATTAGAAATTAGAATATTTGGGTAAATTAGAAATTCTTGGGTTCAGGTCCCTGAATCCAAAGAGTCAAATTGGCTCAAGGACCCAGAAGGTCAGGGAGCTCAGTACCTCTAGTCCACTGATTAGGGAAGATAAGGAATGAAAGGTGACCATTTAATAAAATTTAATAAACATGGGACAAAGACAAGTTCCCAGCACTTGGCTCTAAGTGAAGAGGATAGTGCCCTGGAAACCTAAACGTGGGACAGTGAGGCCTTTGGGCCCAAGGCTACATTGTAACATCCTTCATGAATGAATTAACAAAACATGCATTTATTAAGCACTTAATAGACGCAAAGCATTGTGCTACATACTAGGGATACAAATAGAAAAGCTAGACAGCCCTTCTCTCCAGCAACTCATATTCAATTAGGAGGAGACAACACATAGAAGAGGGTACACATCAGATGGAAAGGCTCCATTGTCTTTTGGATGCAGTGAAGCACATGATTATGCATCTTTTTTCCACTGATAAAAACATATCTAATTCTGATGTTGGACCATCAGCTAGTGCTTCCTAACCCCTTTACCTATATATGCAGTCTCTCTAACCTTTAGCTTTTAAAATATTCAGGTAATTTCTAGATGGATTAAGGGTTAGGTAGCAGAGTGTTCAGACAATTCATATTTAATTCTTCTGATGCATGTGACTCTGGGAAAGTCACTTTCTTTCTTCTTGTATAATTCTTCCCTACCCACCAAAGAGAGGATGCTTTCTTCTAATCTGAAGCTGATGTTTTGAGGACTGAGTTTTCAGCACCTTAGGCTTGGGTATTATTCAATTAAGTTAATGATGAAAATAAAAGAGAATGTATCCCAAACATATCTTCTATAGGGTAAAAGTGTGCCCAGTATCACATCAACGCTCCCGTTAGCAGTGACAGTCCTTCCTGTTCCACCATGGCAAACAGTACATTACAAAGGACTGACTCTAAGCAGCCAAGCCTGCTTCAGATTTCAACTCTGGGCTAAACCATCATCCATCCTAACAAAGGAATTCAAATATTTCCTATGAAATTCTCCAGACTGAGTAGCTTATGCTTTTCAAGCTCAAAGAGGACAAATTGCTGGTATTGCAAAAAGACAACCAATATAACTTGTCCTAAAGGCAATAAAGTGAAACAAATATAATGTCCTCAGTGTTCTCTGGCAGCTCACTAAATAACAACAGTGAAAGGCTGCATTCTCAATGGATAATAGTCTTAAAGCCTGTGGGCTTCTGTCTGGGCTACAATTCAAACGAGCACAAAACACTCCAGTCTGTGCCAAAGAAGCTGTACCATTTTTTTTTCAGATGTTTTGTTTGGTGGCCCCAAATCAATAATGGTCACAGAAATGAATTATAAACTCCAGTGGTGTCATGCAGAGAAGGAGAAGGGGTTAGCCAAAGGAGCAACAACCACCAGCAGCCCACACGATGTGACTGGATCCTTGAAAGTACAAGGCTTAATTAGGAAAGGCTTCTATTAGATGAAGTCAGGTGAGAGCAGGGGCATGAGGGAAGGGAGGGAGAGAGGGAAGAAAGGAAGGGAAGGGGAAGAGAGACAGAGAAAGAGACACAGACAGACAGAGACAGAAAGAGATAGAGGAAGAGAGAGACACACAGAGACAAACAGAGAGAGAGAGACAGAATACTTTGAAAATCGACAAAGAAGTCATTCATGTAAGGTGATTAGATGAAGTCAGGTGAGAGCAGGGGCATGAGGGAAGGGAGGGAGAGAGGGAAGAAAGGAAGGGAAGGGGAAGAGAGACAGAGAAAGAGACACAGACAGACAGACAGAAAGAGATAGAGGAAGAGAGAGACACACAGAGACAAACAGAGAGAGAGAGACAGAATACTTTGAAAATCGACAAAGAAGTCATTCATGTAAGGTGATTCAGAGCCTTGTAATACAGCATATTCAATTTAAAACAAAAGATCAAGTGTTTCTATCTGTAAAAAGGAAAGGAAATACCACCTAGTACATGAAGCTGAATTCAGCAAAGCAACCAAAGAGATGAATACATGCTTTAGAGAATCATACATAAGAATCAAGGGGGACAGTGAAAGGACTTAAGATACCATCAATCTAGAAGCTTCACAAGCTAAAGCAGAACAGAATTCAGAGATGAACAAGAATATGTAAGTGAGTCTAAGGAGGGCAGCAAATCACAGATATGATGGGAGAAATACTTTTACTGGCAGCAGGAAAATGAAGCTGCAGAAAGTAATATGCTACATTCACAGGGAAGAAGGGTTAAGTTTGTTCTGCTTGGTCCCACAGGGCAGAATGAGGATCAATGGGTAGAAACTAAGAGGTGGTAGATTTCAGCTCAATATAAGGAAAACCTTTCTAACTATGAGAGTGGTAACAGAACAAGTCCACTGACTCTGGAAGTAGGGCATTAGCTCTAGCTGGAAATGTTAGAGGCAGGATGACCACTGGACATGGAATGTCATAAAGGTGATTCATAATTTCCAAGGCAGTGGAGTAAAGAACATCAGGTTTGGAGTCAGAGAACATGGATCTAGATATCAGCTTTACCATTTACCATTCTGGGCCTCATGGACAACAACTAACCACCATTTACTGCCTGGGTGATATTGGGCAAGTCACTTCAGCTCTCTGAGTCTAAAGTCCACCCTTCATAAACTAAAAAGGCTGGACCAGGAGATCAGTAAGGTCCTTATGGCCTTCAAAGTCCATTTCAAACTCTGAGATTTCATGACAGCAGACTTATTGGTAGATTAAAAAGAAAAATGTTGCTTTCATTATTACATTATTCTACATTCCCTACAATAACCTATCTCTTCTCTGAATTACACTTTTACATTCTACCCCATTTGTGGAGATGTCTTCTCTTTCCTACTCGACTGCAAGCTCTTTGAGGTGAGGGAACCCAATTTAGTCTTATTTGTATCCACCTTAGAGCGCTGAACAGTACTTTGCATATGGTGGGGCTAAAGAAATATTTACTGAATGAACTGAACAACAGAATACCTCATGCATTTAATAGGGTTTAAAAACGCATCTACTATATACATATACATATATGTATATACATATATACATATGTAACTTCACAGAAGCCAAATTATGCTACAATAACAATCCCTATTTTTCACTTGATGAAAATTTCTTTTAGCTACATGAAGTTAAAACAATACAAAAAAGGCCTTTATAGTTGTTTTGGTTATTTAGAGGCCTTAGAAGTTTTCTAGAAATTTTCTAAAAGTGTTGCTACGAGGAGCAAATGATAATATGTATTAAATGCTTTGCAAATTTTAAGGCATTTTATTATTATTAATTATTATTATTTTTAAAACAATGTTGAAAAAGAATGCTCAAGACTCTTAATTTTTATGTCTGAAAAACAGAAATGTATAATATTTCTCATTACCTTGTACTTTCAGGATCAGAATATTTTAGGTTTAGAGCTAGAAGTGACCTTATTGTTTAGAATTCAAAAATAAACATTTCGATAAAAATCCAATCAATACCTTTTATTGTAGATAACAACTGAAAAGCTGAGTGCGCCAGATTACCTCTTCCCTTTTTAAGAAAACCCAGTCTTCTGGGAGGGAGTGAAGAGATAGTCAGAAAAGCCATTTAGAGACTTAAGCACCAAATAGGAAGAATGCTAGCCCACTGAAAGCCTTTTAGGCTCATGGATACTGAGTTACATCTAGGGAATCTCTGGGGTTGCATATTTGGGCTTAGGCCATACATGAGAAGCTCCCCTCAAATGACAACAGTTCTCACTTCAAAGATCACATTCCACTGGGGATTCCATGCAGACGTATATGTATACACAAAATAAATACAAGGTAATTTTTTTGAAAAAAGAATGAGCAGATCAGGGGGAGAGGGGAAAAAAAGTACTCATGGAAAAGATGGCTTTTGAGCTGATTTCTAGGGATTCTAAGTGGGGACTAAAGTGGGGGTGTTATTCTAGCACAGGAGTCAGCCTATGCACAAATAGAAGCAAAAGATGTATTGTCATGCATGACAAAAATCAGAAAGGCCACTTTGGTTGTATCAAAGGCTATATAAAGTGGGGTAATGTTTAATAAACCTGGAAAGATACACTACAGCCAGTATGAAAGGGTATTTAAAATGGATCTTACAGATCATAGGTCTAGGTCTAGAATTAAAAAGGACCTCAGAGGCCATCTAATCCAATCCTCTTATTTCACAGATGAAGAAAGTGAGGCTCAGGGAGATTTAAATGTCTTACCCAGGGTCACCCAGATAATAAGGGTCAGAGATGGGATCTCCTTCCTTTTGGGAGGAGTGTCGTATCAGAATGTGTCCCCAACTGCACCATGTGAGACTTATATCATGCTTTGTAAACACTATAAAAACCATAGGAATTAACAGGAATAAGAAAAGCCCATGTATCATACCACCATCATCCAAATTTGTGTTTCAAATTTCAAAATGTTTCAGCATCTGGTGAACCAACTCTTTAATGCATGCTTTTACTGTTTAAAATCACAGTAACATTTTATTTCCAATAAAGGATTTTCAGTCCAGGGATTTTTAAAGCACAGATTTTTAAAACAACAGTTGCTACCACTATCACCACCCCAGACTAACAACTAGGTAACAGTTACAAATGGTACTTAGGGGCCACCCTACTCCATCAGAGTGTGAGAAGTGGTGTCATGCAGAGAAGGAGAAGGGGTTAGCCAAAGGAGCAACAACCACCAGCAGCCCACACGATGTGACTGGATCCTTGGCTTACAGTTGGGAGAATCCAGGCTCTGACACTTACGTGACCATTGGCCTGATATTTTACTTTACTTTTCTTTTCTTTTTTTTAATTTTTAGGCAATTGGGGTTAAGTGACTTGCCCAGGGTCACACCGCTAGTAAGTGCCAAGTGTTTGGTCTGAGGCCGGATTTGAACTCAGGTCCTCCTGACTTCAGGGCCGGTACTCTATCCACTGAGCCACCTAGCTGTCCCTATGATATATTACTTTTCTAAGCTTCAGTTACCTTATCTATAAAATGGGGTTGGGGTGGGGGTGAGTGGGTTTGAATTTGATGGCCTTCCAGATCTAATCGTGTGGTCAGCATGATAACCTTGTGGGTGGGCAGAAAACTTTTTACACCTTTGACATATATGGAAACTGAGGTGATGGAGAATGCTAAAATGATTTGCCAAAGGTCATGTGGCTGGCTGGTGTTAGTACTAGGATTTAAACCCAGGTCTCCTCTATTCACATCCACTGCATCACCTAGCCTCTCAAACATTTTATGCTTCTAATCTTTGTTTTATAGCATTTTCTTCATTTAAGAAAAAAAGTGCTATTTACAATAATCACAAACCTGTATATGCTGGAGTGGCGATATCCTCAGTAGGTATTTCAGAGTCTGCCCTGGAGCTTGTGGCCTCTTTTCTCCTGGGTAAGGATCTGAGAAGTTCATTGTAGTGGTGTCTGTATTTTTTACAAAAAAGAAAAAAAAGTTTCTACATGAGCTAATCATCACAGATACACAAAGGGATGACTCCATATTTTCAGATTTTAAAAATTACCATTTGACTTTACTTATTTCAGCTCTGAATGAAGTAATTCATGAATACATTATATTCATCATCTATTGTAAGATCTGTTAGAAACAAATAAAAATGATATAGAATGTTCCAAGTCTTCCCATTTAAAAAAATATTTGTTGAATATTCTTTATTTCTCTAAGAGCACACACCCATTACAAAGCCTTCTCAAATAGGATGCAGATTGCCAAAGAAAATGCAGACATTCCTGGATTTAAGAAAAATCAAATACAGGCAACTTCCAATTGATGAATAGGTTGTATTTTTAAAAAATTGTTAGTCTGTTTCTTGGCATTTTGAAGGCATCTCCCCCTTATTATATAGGTGGCTAGCTTCTCAGGCTAGCAGTTTATAAAAACACATATTTAGCCCAAAATGTAGCTGAACTACAATACTAAGCATATGCCAGAACTTGAATCACCACACATAACAATGTGTCCATGAGAAAATGTGTTCAGAATCTCAGCCTGGGATGTCAGAAATACAGTATTCACACTCTGGCCCCATAACAACACTGATAGCAGGAATGAGGGTTCCCTTATCCTCATCTACTTCAAGAAGCTTAGGTGAAAGCCAGCTCAGTGACACTGGTAGTGGCAGGCGGCCTACCTTAAGGGCTCCACAGGGATGGAGACTGTGAGAAAGAGGTGAGAGATCTTGGGATGTGGGAGGGATGAGGAGTATGTCAGATAGGCAGGGCTTATGAGGTTCTGCTGATGAAGAGTGGAATTAGGCTGAGGATAAGAGAAGCAAGGTTGGGGTGGGAATATGGTTAGTGAGGAGTAAGAGTTGCGGGTATTCCAAGGTATCATTTAAACATATATGTATCCCTAGCACCAAGCACAGTGACAAACATACAGTAGGTGTTTAATAACTGCTTGTTAACTGATGGATGATTCCAGACTCCCAGATGGCTTAGTTGACAATAGTGTCCTTTTTCTTATACAGTTCTCACAGAAAACGTGCTCAATTTTCCTATCCTAAATGATGCTTCTTTTAAGGTTTATCTCATGATTCAAAACCTCAAAGGAGCCTTCCCTGATTAACTTTCCATCTATTTACCTCTCCTAGCACGTAAGATGCTCTTTTGTTGTTCAGTTGTTTCAGTCAATCAAACTAGTTTTCTAAAATGTTATATGCCAGCAGGATACTGCAAGAAAAAAAACAGGTAAACAACTGGACTCTAAGTCAGGAGACTTGGTCCAAATTTGGACTCTAACACCCACCATGGGGTGAATTTTTTCCCCTTTCTGAGCTTCAGTTTACATACATGGAAAATGGATAACACTTTTACTCCCTTTCTCACAGGGGTATTGTAAGGAAAGTCTTATTCAGCTGTAATAATAAGAAGAAAAATTATGGATTGAAAAAAATTGTATCTGACATCTCTTAAAATCCTGGCATCCAAAATCCATTGGGAATTGACACAAATGTATGAGACTAAGATACTTTTCCCAATAAGTAACTGATCAAAGGATATAAAGAAACAATTTTCAAAGAAAAAACTCAAACTATCAAGAATCATATAGAGAAATGCAAATTAATGCTACACTTCAATATAATTTGATCCATCAATTTGGCAATGATTAATAGTAGTGCTTTTGCAAACTGTGAAGCAAAAACTGTCTCATAGGTTCACAAGGAGGCTCACCTTAAATGACAAAAAGTGATTACTTTTCTTAGAGAGTTACCAGGGAAATTTGGATTAAAAAAAAAAACAAATCCTGGGTTCTAGCCAGGGTGGAAACAGCTAAAAATGTAGCAAACTTAATCATAGTCCATTTTTGCCTACTGCGTGAAAGTTACTTCAACTCCTGTGGTTGATTTTCAACAGAGAGAAGGCACTTTCACTCCTATTGCTCTTTAGCATAAATGAGCGTTGCATTTTATTTGCATCTATTTTATATTATACTATATTACATCTACTGACACAATCATGTTTTTCATACATACACACATATAAATATAAACATACACACACATATATACATACATATATACAATTAAAGTAAATGTTTTCCTAATGGTGAATTGTTCTTGCACACATGGCAGACAAATCCACTTCGGTCTGAAAGAATTTTTTTTTGGGGGTAAATAAACTGCTATAGCTTTTTTCACTAATATTTTATATAAAATTTGTGTCAATATTAAGGATGTTTTTGGTTATTTGGCTATTTGGTACTTTTGTGGGTATTTATCCATTTTCTTTACAAACTCAGTTTTGATGACATATGCTTGGGTAGAGAAGTTTCCAACAATTTTCCTTATTTCCTTTCTAGTCTTCATCAATTCACCTGCTTTGTTATTCTATTTTTGGCAATTTGGTCTCATATTCCCTTTAAAAATTCTAATAGCTTGTCAATTTTGTTAGTTTAAAAATGTTCTTTTTTTATCAGGTCACAAGCTTTTTCTGTTTTAATTTTGTTTCTGTTTCCTTTTTGCTTTTTTTTTCTTGGTGGGGGTTAATTTATTCCTTTCCACTTTTTTCCCCATTTATTTATTTATTATTAGTTTTCAATATTCACTTCCACAAGTTTTTGAGTTCCAAATTTTCACCCCATCTCCCCCCTCTCCCCACCCCAAGATGACATGCATTCTGAATATCCCTTCCCCTAGTCTGTCCTCTCTTCTCTCCCCTCCTTCTCTTATCCCCTTCCCTTTCTATTTTCCTGTAGGGCAGGATAGACTTCTGTACCCCATTTCCTGTATTTCTTATTTCCCAGTAGCATGTGAAAACTTTTTTTTTAAACATATGCTTTTAAAACTTTAGGTTTCAAATTTTCTCTCTTCCTCCCTCCCCACCCACCCTCATTGAAAAGGCAAGCAACTCAATATAGATTGTACATGTGCAGTTATGCAAAACACGTCCATAGAAGACATGTTGTGAAAAACTAACTCTATTTCCCTTAATCCTATACTGCCCTCCCATTTAGTCTGTTCTTTCTTTTGACCCTGTCCCTCTCAGAAGTATTTACTTCTGATTACCCCCTTTCCCAATCTGCTCTCCTCTATATCATCCCCTGCTCTCTTGTCCCCTTCTCCCCTATTTTCCTGTAGGGTAAGACAGATTTCCATACCCAATTGGATGTGTATGTTATTCCCTTGTTAAGCCAAATCCTATGAGAATAACATTCACTCATTCCCTCTCACCTTCCCCAGTTTCCCCTCCACTGTAAGAGACTTTTCTTTTTTTTTGTTTTGTGAGATAATTTACCCCATTCTACCTCTCCCTTTCTTCTTCTCCGAGTATCATCCTTTCTCATCCCTTAACTTTATTCTCCAGATATGACCCCTTAATCTTCAACTCACCCTGTGCCCTCTATATGTCTATCTACATATACATACATATAATTTTTTTCCTCCAACTACCCTAATACTGACAAAGGTCTCATGAGTTATAAATATCATCTTTCCATGCAGGAATGTAAACAGTTCAATCTTAATAAGTCTCTTATGATTTCTCTTTCCTGTTTACCTCTTCATGTTCCACTTGAGTCCTGTATTTGAAAGTCAAATTTTCTATTCAGCTCTGGTCTTTTCATCAAGAATGCTTGAAAGTCCTCTATTTCACTGAATGACCATTTTTTCCCCTGAAGGATTATACTCAGTTTTGCTGGGTAGGTGATTCTTGGTTGTAATCCTATCTCCTTTGCCCTCTAGAATATTATATTCCATGCCCTGTGGTCCTTTAATGTAGAAGCTGCTAAATCTTGTGTTATCCTGATTGTGTTTCCACAGTACTTGAATTGTTTCCTTCTGGCAGCTTGTAATATTTTCTCCTTGACCTGGGAACTCTGGAATTTGGCTATAATATTCCTAGGAGTTTTCCTTTGGGGATCTCTTTCAGGAGGAGATCTGTGGATTCTTTCAATTTCTATTTTGCCCTCTGGTTCTAAATATCAGGGCAGTTTTCCTTGATAATTTCTTGAAAGATGATGTCTAAGCTCTTTTTTTGATCATGGCTTTCAGATAGTCCAATAATTTTAAATTCTCTCTCCTGGATCTATTTTCCAGGTCAGTTGTTTTTCCAATGAGATATTTCACATTGTTTTCTAATTTTTCATTCTTTTGGATTTGTTTACTGTGTCTTGATTTCTCATAAAGTCACTAGCTTCCAATTGCTCTATTCTAATTTTTAAGGAAGTATTTTCTTCAGTAAGCTTTTGGACTTCCTTTTCCATTTGGCCAATTTTCTTTTTAGGGCATTCTTCCTCATTGGCTTTTTGGACCTCTTTTGCCATTTGGGTTAGGCTATTTTTTAAGGTGTTATTTTCTTCAGTTTTTTTTGGGTCTCCTTTAGCAAGCTGTTGACTTGTTTTTCATGATTTTCTTGCATCACTCTCAGTTTTTCCTCTACTTCCCTTACTTGCTTCTCAAATCCCTTTTGAGCTCTTCCAAGGCCTGGGACTGATTCATATTTTTCTTGGAGGCTTTGGATGTAGGAGCTTTGACTTTGTTGTCTTCTTCTGGTTGTATATTTTGATCTTCTTTTCACCAAAGTAAGATAATATAGTCTGACTCTTTTTGCGCTGCTTGCTCATGATCCCTGGCCAATTACTTGAGTTTTAAACTCTTTGTTAAGGTAAATCTGCTTCCAATGTGGAGAATGTACTGTCCCAAGCTTCGGGGTTTGTACAGCTGTTTTCAGAGATACTTGTAGGGACCTGTAAATTTTCAGTTCTTCCAAGGTGGTATGATAAGGGGCAGGTGTTTACTCCTTTCCTGGCCTGTGCCTGTGACCACAAGTACTCCTTTCTGTCCTGTAATTGTGAGGAGGGGTTCCTCTTCACAGCCACTACAAGCTCCACCACGCCAGCGCTCCTCCTCACCTCAGCACCACCACCCAGAACTGTGACCCAGATCCAAACATGGGCAAAGCAAGAG